ATAAAATAATATAATTTTTAACTTTTTTACCAAAACATTAAAATAAATCAAAATATGAAATAATTGTAGGTAGTTCTTATCCCCGTGAGTCTTATAACAAAACCAGAATTTCAATATCTCTATTATTTTGTGAGATATCACAATGGGTAAATCCTCGYGGGACACCCTATATATAATTCTATTATTTGCTTCCACTATCGCTATAAATTTAATATTTGTACTTATCTAAGTAACTCGTTATGAATGTGCAATGTATTAACTGTGAAGTTATTAGTCTTTGTAGGAACTATAATCTCAAATATATTATATAACATGAAGAGTTTAAACAAGAATCAAGCTAATATCACTAATATCCAAGTATTTTAGTAGCTAAATAAACATATAAATTATACCTTATTGATAATGAAGTATTAAGTATACACTTAGAAACCCAGGCTATAAACATGTATATTAAATGAAGATAAAGTGATTATAGTAAACAAATTTGGATAAATATCTGACATAATGACTTATATATAATATATAAAACTATGTCACTTCTAGGTTACTTCTTGAAATCGGCATCCTACTAAACAGAAATTTAAATTTGATGTCCAAATAATTTTTAATAAAAATACCTTTTCAATCAACAAATTTTCCATGAAATTAAATATTACAGCCTCATCTACAAGAAACACAATCAACTCAAATTATACAAATGGAATTCAAACTTTCATTCTTACTAGTGAAAAGCTATATATTTAAATTTTAAACTACCACAATTTAAACCAWAATAGTTCAATGACCTGCCCATTTTTTTTTTTATATCAATTCAATACTGTGACTGACTATTTGTTACTATTATATAAGTACAATATCTAATTTGCTTATAGATAAGTTTAGTAGATGGGTTAGTTGCTTTATTRMTCTTAACTTCAAAGATACTATAATACATTGCAACCTTAACTTGATTTTTTTAAAGCTCTAACAATAAATATATTAAATTATAATTCTTACTCTACGATTTCTGGCTAAAGATGTCCGTTTTCTAGATCCATGCATCCTCAACGAATCTTGATCACTATCAGTAATACCCAATGAATCACCATCTAATAAGCTATCTGTTGATCCACCTGTAAGATCTGCACTAGTACTATGCGCATCAGGTGTAGATATTGATTTTGATAAAACAGAATCACTAATCATTATTGATTCTTCGTCATCTGGTTTGTTTTCTTCAATAATATTTTCATTTGTCATTATGTTTTTAGCCCATTTATCACGTTCATGTTTTGTTTTAAAACTACCAGTATAACTAAGTTTATTTTTAGGAATTTGTCCATTATTACCTAATTCAGGATTTTCAATGRCTTTTGGATTTTGAATTGATATTACAGCAGGCTTGCGAATGTTTTCTAGTAAGTTTTGTACTTTAGAAGGCTCATAAGTTGCATTTTTGTTCAAAGGCAATGACTTTAGCTCAATTTCTTGAGCAAGTTCTTCTAAAGAGCTAGACAATTGTAATGAAAGTTGCTCTTTATTATCACATTTTTTAATATTCACTTGACAATAGCCAGAATTTTCTTGGTTAACTGTAACAACTGTTTTATTTTTTCTATTTAACACTGGAGACAATATGTTATTTTCATTTTGAATATCAACTCGTTTAATATCACTTATCACATTATCAACATTCAAGTCATTGACACTTAAAATGGTGGTGTTTTCTAAAGGAATGTTTTCATAGGACGGAGTTAATGGTTTTTCAAAAATAGTACGTTTTAGCACTTGTGGTTTTTCTACTATAGTTTTTTCCTCGCCCTTGGATAAACTAGGCCTGCCAGGGGCTCGTGGAATTTCTTTGACAAAGGTAGCTGGAACATAAAATGGCTGACCTGAACTGCGTATAACTTGCCACCAATCATCATTAGTTTTTTTTAACAAAAGTAGTTTCTCGCCTTCTTTGATTGATACACACTTGTTTTCTCTAGTCTTGTACTCAAAGTCATAGAGAACCCTAACCTTAGTGTCGGAAATATCCATTGTGCCACAGTCATTGTAAATTTGACACCTAAAACATAAAAATCTTTTTAAATAAAATTAGTTTATCAATCTAATAAAATCAAATATTTTATCAAAATTAATTTATATACCTATAGGTTTTTAGAGATTTTAACAGTTTACACACTATCTTAAAAATAGATTCTTTTAACATAACCTATTGGAATTGAAATTTTTTTTATATTTTAACATTTTTTTTCTTACTTTTTTTAAAACAACATACTTCCATCTTTCTATAATATATTGTAAATATAAATGAATTTAAATATGTATATACCTAATACCTATATATTTTTTTTAAATTCTGATATATGAAATTTTGATAGAGTAATTATTTTTATTATAATTGATTTTTGAGTAATTATCTAATGAGTTTATAAAGTTTAATAATATAAATTAATAGAGTGATATTACTAAGTTACTCGCAAAATATTGAGTGACTACTATGCATCTAAACTTTTAATTCAATTTATATACATAAAAATAGATACTTACATAAAAAAAAATGTTGCTTCATAGTAAATATCTTAATATGTGTTTAATGAACTAAACAGAATAAAATGAATTCTATTAACTTTGTCATACCAACTTATGATTTTCATTTGCTTGGAATCTTTAGTAGTTCAATTTATTGAACTCTCCTTGAACTTTGAGCTACTGAGAGTCAATTGAATATTAAATACAATTATGTTTTCTATAGTATGGTAATTGTCATAGCGATTTTTTTTGCTCTGAAGATTACTTAAGTTTATATGTTTTAAAATCCATTAATTTAAATCTGTATAMCTACCTAGAGCATAACATTTGATTTTGGCAGAATTACAAAAATAATATTTTAAATGCTAATAGGTAGTTCAAACTTCTCAAGGTGAAAAAGTCTAAACGGAAAAAAAATTGTTCATGAGAAAATTGGGTAAGAGTCTACTGTTTTAAGTCTATTATCAGAAGTTGCATGGGTACTTCAAAATAATATAAACTGTTGTCCTAAATCATATATTTTGATCATTATTGATCATTAGGTATAACTGTATAARTAATAAATATATAATCTAGGTATTTCAAGAGAAACCAAAAGATTTTTATAAAAATCATCAAAAGATCACTAAAAAATTAAAAATTGATTAGTACTAATCTATTGAATCCAAACAGGTAGGTACTTAAAGTACATTAAACAATTCTGAGCTAAAATTCAGTGAGTTTTTAAAAAAATTATCAATTATCTACCTAACAAGTTGTTTTCTAAATGATACTAACACAATAAATGTTAGTGATCATGAGGGATTAGAAGGAATCATTAATGAATACACTGAACTTAACCAGTCATAAGACATAAAACCCTACATAAAATGATGAATAAATTACCGTAGATCTATCAAGTTTCGATATCATTGTCATCCTTCAAACTATAAATTGATACCTAGCTTATTGAATAGTTGAAAGGTTTAATTTTTTGTAAGTGCTCATCGAGTGTAACCGGGAAAGGGGTCGATTTCGGCTCGGAAACCACAAAATAAGGAATGACGAGCACACGTCAAAGACCAAACCACCCAACCTCCAAACGTACAACTACTACAGGTCGCACCGACCAAAGACGTCGACGAAGACGGTGTTTGGTACACTTAAACAGGGTCACCCGCAATCGCTAAACGATTTGTTCTTACTCACCAAAATGTCACGCGAAAATCCCATCGGAAACACGACCTTGGCCGTYCAACTGCTCTGGATTCCGACGACGGCGGATRCGGTTATCGCGTACMGACGACAAAACTGGGAGAGAAAAATTCAAAAATCAACACTGAYACAAATTAATAACGATGATAGTAAAAACAAATATTGATAAATTATGACAATTTATTATAACGATGGAACTGGTTCTATCGAAACCGGACGCATACGCGGCCGACGTGACTCACAGCTGCGCGATTTATCGTTTCTAATCGACCGTTTGACATCGTCGTCATACACAATAAAATTATTATTATTATTATTGTTGTTGTTGTTGTTGTTATCCTACGACGGTGCGCGAGTGCACGACGACGGGCAACGAGCGGGCGGGACGTCACTGTATACCAGTCTATGGAACGGCGGCCGATTACGCGCTTTTTGCGTGCGAATAAAAATATTGCGAAACGCGAATGTGTTACGCCGCGCGATATCGTTGCGGAGGAGTAGGAGGACTAGGAGRAGAGAGTGATCCACGGGGTACGGAGCCACAAAGCGACCGTGGTTTAACTAAAATACTAATGCGGGTGAAAATATGCACTATCTGTGATGAAATGTGAATATTATCGTCATGTTATTTTAAGCTCTGTGGCATTGATTTTGTGACGGTGACGCAAGAATGTTCACACCCTTCATAATCGTCAGATGGCGTTGCGATCAACCAACTACTACTCGTCCGGCCGCCGACACGTCGTCTTGACAGAAAAAACTCTCAATAGTCAAATTTAATAATAATAATATTATAAAAATACATTTTAATAATATTATGTCGTTTATATCATGTTGTACAGCCACAACCACGTACAACTGGTACAACTACCGGTACAYAGCCGCGGTTAACAGATAACAAAACATAGATAATAAAGATTATTTATTATCTATGTAAATATCATAGATAATATTAGTTTAATGCATAATAGCCATAATATTATCATCGTAGTATTATACTAGTATCGAATTATTCAAAATGTCGTTATAGTTTTCTTGCGGCGATTGTGTTCTACATCCGGCCGTATTATTAATAATATAATGCAATTATTCGATATTTTGATGGTTTCGTGATTTTGGATTTCGTTTATCGGTGAATCGGTTTTACCGGAATCTTTGATTCCTCAAGTTCGATCACTCCGCAGCTCCGAAAAATGGAACTCCAAGACACGTTCTACAGTAAATCTGAATATGTAGAGACGGTAATATAGTTCAGGGACTGTTGCAGATGTGGTATCATGACTTATAGMATTTTTAATACTGTGGACGATATTTTTACAGACGACTGGTAATAAAGTGAGTCGTCAAGCTCAAATTTATGGCTCTCAAAATATTATACTGAATGGCAAAGTCATACTGCAGTCGGGTGTGATGATACGAGGTGATCTAGCTAGTGTTAAAATGGGCCGGTACTGTTTTGTTGGCCGAGGTTCAGTTGTGAGGCCACCGTGCAAAAAATTTAGTGGAGGGTAATGTTTTAGATTATAATTATTTATATTACTTTAACAATTGGGTAACTGACTAAATGGTGGAATGGTAAGAGTTTTATGTTGATCAGTTGATCTATAGTCATTTTAAACAATATGATCATTTTATTACACTAAAACTTTATTAAATTGAAAGTATATGTMCTTAAAGAATATTGATTCTTATATTGTATATTATATTTGACAAAACTTGATTTTCAGTCCATACATAATAGCATAATAAATAAATGTCACACAAAATAATGAAAGCTTGACCAACATGCCTTGTTGGGCACGAATGCCGAAAAAATGTTCTTATAGCACCTCCTATTTTAAACACAGTGAAATCTCTGAATACTGGACACTCAGTTGTCGTAATTGTTTCCGTTATTTAGAGGTGTCCGCTATTCAGAGGGAGGAGGTCAAATTCTCAAAAATAACTGATAAATTAATAATTAGATATATATTTATTTAATAGTTATAATTAATGATATTTCTATATTTCTATTATTTTAATGCAAATATTATTTGTACATATTATTATTTAAAATTATATGAAAAAATCAGTTACTTTAACTTGTTTAGAACTTGATGCATAGTAATTTTGTGTATCAATGCATTTTCTAATTCAACTGCGTTGGATATAATACGTTTGTATGTTATGACGAATCACAATCACAACTAAAAACGCGTTAAAACTAGGARTGTGGGATACTTTACAGAACATAAACTAGAAAAATGTTTTAATCGACAYGATAATGGATTCACTTAAAACTATAATATAGATAGATCGATATTTATTAAGGCATTCCACGATTATTCTATATTTTAGAATAATTGTCAAAATCAAAATAAAATTACCATAAAAGTGTTCGGTATTTAAGGGTTTTCTTGTGTTATAATAGTGAAAATGTTCCCATTCCCAAAAAAATGTCTGCTATTTAGAGATTAAGGGAGGTTTCACTGTATTTGTTTTTGTTTTAAAAAGTTGCTCYATTAGGAATCAAGTACTGATTTTTATTTTTATTTATTTTACTTTCGTAGTATGATTTATGTTTGTTTTTGTTATCTTGGATTAAATTTGGATATACATGATATAAGTTATGATGCTGTTGTAGGTTGGATGAAGTTTAATGGTTTTTCAATAACTGTCATCAGTATAATAACCTACCTCAATAGTTTGTTGTGTAATAGACTATATTGCACTAAAAATGTTAAAAAGTAGAGGAAATAAAATATTATCTTTTGAGACACCAACATTAATTATTTTAATTGGTCAAGTAGAGAAGCTTTATTCAACTTGGAAGTAAAGGTCAGCCAATTATAATTTGATTAAAGGAAGAGGAAGGAAGTGCTTAAGTTTAAAAAGTAATCCTTTGTGCCAGACTTATTAAAGGCTTGATAGAGAGGCACAAGTGCAGTAGTCTCTTTTCAAATGACATAGAAATTATGTAACAATTCTACTACATACTAGTTCTCATACTATGAGACACCCGGAAATCAAATTGGGATAATCCAAATAAAATTAAAATATTACCCATAAAACCATTTGGTTCGTTAAATTTATTTCTATAATTAAAATCTAAAGCTCTTTATTATGCCAATGTTATTTTTAAGCACTTTATTCAATCAACTCCTATTTTAATTTTGTAGCAGCAGTAATTCTATAGAAGGTAAAAAAAATTACTTGACATTTAAAATTGTASTGCCTTACCATTTCATTATAATAAAACTTTTAATTTATACTTAGGTTAAAGATTCCATATTTAATATTTGTGTATTACTATTTATTGCTAGGTAGTGAATGTAATTATTGTATAGCCCCACTGCACCACCTTTTGCGTTTTTGTAAATTAAGGCGTATATATAAGTATAAAGTGGATTAGGTAAAGTACAAACTATTATTGGCCATAATAAACAATGCCTAATCTGCCTTATTAATTATAATGTATTCATTAATAATTGTGGCAATATCATGATGCATTATGATTAATAAACAATGCCCAATCTGCCTTATTAAGAGGACGCCACACCCGCATGTGTTGTCTTCGTCGTACAAGTGCGTAGCATAGCAAATTTTAMGCTYAGCAGATCACGTTTATCTCCGTTATTTTAAAATTTAGAGTGAATTGACCTATTATAAAAWTTAAAGGCAARATTATTACCGAGTGCATCTTATAGGCTTTTTATTATATTTTAATTTTAAGCCGAGTTATGAGTATTTTTAAATATAAAAATTATTTACAATTTTACAATACTCATTACTCGCTTAAAAATTAAAATATAATAAAAAGCCTATGAGATGTACTTGGTAATAATCTTGCCTTTAATTTTTATAATAGGTCAATTCACTCTAAATTTTAAAATAACGGAGATAAACGTGATCTGCTRAGCGTAAAATTTGCTATGCTACGCACTTGTACGACGAAGACAACACATGCGGGTGTGGCGTCCTCTTAATTATAATGTATTCATTAATAATTGTGGCAATATCATTCTTACTTCAATAATTAACCTATTTCACATATACTATATATCTATGGATAGTATATCTACAGATGCACAGATACATAAAACTCATTTATTTCATGACATTGTGCTTATTTGTTTTTTTGTTTTTATTAATTTAATTTTTCTCTCTATTTTGATGTAATTAGGTACATCCGACTCATATCTATTATAATTAAAGACTTTCAGAGCTCACATAAACATCCCACATGTTAAACTTTAATAATATAAAACGCTTAAAGTGACAATAACATTATTATACTCACTCTCCTCATCTATCGAGAAGAAAAATGGCCATAAATATATGCATAATATATGCACATTGACACATTTAATTATTTATGTTTTAGATTTACTTATTTTGCTCTTCAAATTGGTGATCATGTACACATTGGTGAACAAAGTGTTATTCAAGCAGCCATCATCGGATCTTATGTACACATTGGAAAAAACGTTGTTATTGTAAGTGTATCATATATATTATACTGTATTATTATTTGTTGCTAATTTAACCATTGATTTTTTTTTTAAGGGTAAAAGATGTATACTTAAAGACTGTTGTATGATTGGAGATAATACAGTACTTGCACCTGATACTGTAGTTCCTTCATTTACACATTATTCTGGTTCTCCAGGCATGCAAATCGGTCAATTACCAGTTTGTACTCAAGATCTGTCAACTGATTATACCAAATCATTTTATGATCACTTTGTTCCATCTATTGATAGTTTATAGATATAAAATAATTATAATTTTTTTAACACTTTAATTTAAAATTTATTGTATAAAATAATATATGTTTTGATAATATATAATAATTATCTAATTTTGACATGCTTTACAAGACTGTTTTTTCTGATCTTTTTCAAAATCTACAAACACCTTAGCTGGTAACATGTGTTCCAATAACATGTTGTTCTCAGCAGGTAAACCCAAACATGCTCTGAGTATATTTTCAATACATGCTCTCTGGCGAAAGAGAGAATTTACTACTGGAGCTCCTGTAAAAAAAAATTTCCTTTTAAATAAATAATTTATCTCATAGATAATAATTTATTAAATACTTACCTTTTGGCACGACAGGGGCTTTAAGTAAATACGACATAGCACTGAAGATGGGATGCAAAGGTGTGTAATCTGATTTATCTGATCCAATTTCAATTCTGTTAAAGACATCCGCAAGTATAAGTAGATCCAATATAAGAGGTGATGCCAATAATGAATCTTCGCATGTATTATGTATGACTAATGTATTTATTCCATTCATGAATATTTCTGATGTATATTCATCCAGTGCCCTTTTGGAATCTTTGACGTATGGCACATATTTTATAACTACACAGTGATCAGGTTTCTCGTTTGGTTTGTAAATAATATTATTTGATTTAACCATGTCATCAACTACATTGCTTTTAGAAATCTCTTTTGAACGGAATTGTTGAGGTGCTGACAAATTCTGACCGTCATTGTTTCCCAAATGATTATAGCTCACAATGGACACTGGTTTGATTCCAGCAGTAACTAGAAAGTCTACTAGTACCGACTTCAATTTTGTTTGCCCCGATTTGAAATCATCACCAGCAATATGTACTCCCCATTTCTCAGCTAGTTCTACTACACCTTTGACAAAAGTGTTTGACGGTGATCCATTTATATAAGTACACTGAAATTATAAAAAAAAATTGTTGATGACTTTTTAAAAAAGAAAAAAAACCTTACTCCTTCTAAAATGGAAGCAACAGCAAATAAAGTAGATGGTGATATTTCTGATTCATTCTTGCAAATTGATCTTAAAAGATTGTCTGATGTATCATTAATTCCTTCAATTTCTTCACTAAATCGTTCTGTATTGGCACTCCATATTACAATAACCTGATCCAGTTCTTTGCATTTCTTAAAATCTCTAATATCTGTCCTGATTTGATCTAATGCTTCTGATTTTTTTTCCATTTTAATAACATTATCTGCACGATATGATTGATTAGCTGCTATGAATTCTGGTATATAAATTGATGGTCTTGGAATAATTTCAGACATTTTTTTCATTAACTTTTTTTGCAAATCAATATCTAACACCTAAATTACAAATAATTATTTAAAAAAAAAAATTAAATTTTAAACAATTAATAACTCTTAAATATTACTTCTGATCTTTTCATAGCTTGACCTAAGTCCATGGATGAAATGTCCCAACCATCAATCTCTATATCATTGGGGTTAATCATGGGTACTAAGCTTTTTAAAGGCACATAAACATCTTGGCCAGTAGTGTCCATGCCAACACGTATAGTTGATGACTGTGTTATTGAACCAAACCAATTTGGAGACTTAACACCTGATTTTGTTTCCCATGTTAATCCATATTTATTTGCAATAATGCCCGCCACTAATGTAGAACCATTGTTGCCACCTAAACCAACTAACATCAGTCCAGTTTTTGGTACCACTCTCTTTGTTCGAATCTTGAGTTTAGTAATGGTGGGCTTAATCTAAACAAAATAAAATAATTTATCTGTATAAATTAATTCATTACTTTATATTTAAAACAAAGTATACAATCTTATCATAATATGCAGTCGCAATTTATATGTAGAGAAGTAATACGGTAGGTACTTTAAAAAATCATTAAATTAAAATGTTGTGTTATATAAATTATAAAAGTTTGGAAATGCTTGCTCAGTTTAAAGTGTTTTTACATTATTTTGTAGTTGAAAATCCATAAAGTATTTAATATTAATACCTCAGGTTTGAAAATGTAACACAGATTGCATATTCTTTATAAAGTATAGGTAACTATATAAGCTTCGATTACTAAAATTGTTAAAAAAGATTGGGTGCAAGTCTATAAATATTTTTAGTAGGTAATTCGTTTAAAAAATATAAATATAGAACGTTTATGTGTAATTAAATATATTGAGAATATTATTATTTTTATAGTTTATCAATAATACTAAGAATCTATTTATTAATAAATTTTTTAATTTTATTATTTTTGTGACAATGTTAATGATAAAAAAATCTATAGTATGTTCCTATTATCAGGACGAAAACGAACTTACCTACATCTTATTCTTAATAATACTTATAAAGTTTATATTATGTTTGGAGGTATTCGTATTATACATAGGTTACCCAATAGGTACCTACTTAGAAACTTAGTCTATGAGTTTGGCGGTTTGGACATTATGAAAACATTAAGGCAAATCTGCAAAACACTTGTCATCTCTCGTTGTGGTAACATTATTTGTTAAACTTTTTTGGCGCAAGCAATATATCCAAAGCGTAATGGCCCACACTTGTCATCAATGTGTGGCTTGCTTTTCCTTTAATTGATTTTGCCTTGTCCAGCTGTCATAATTTTTATTTTCACTTATTTTTTTTTCACACTACCTATTTTCAGTTAGATATTACAAATATTATGTATGTTGAGTCAGTTTTGTATAGATATTATATATATATATTATATATATATATGTGTGTGTGTGTGTGTGTTCTGCCGAATACAGATCTTCAATATTTGAATCTCTCGTCAACGTCGCACACTAAATCAACCCCTATAATCAATTCGTTATTTATCCTAAACTTCCTCCAAAATTCTACACGATTCCTCTGTTATCTTCTGTCTAAGTTCTACCCCATCAAGTAGTGCTCACTATTTTTTCATTAATTTGAGTTTTCTCAATTCGTCATAGTACTTATTTCGTTGATTACATTTATTATTTATACAATGAATCAATAATATTTCAATAGTGGTAAATTTAGATTCATCTATTACAAATATGCATAAACAAGTAATTTGAACTTATTAATACTTATTAAGTCATAATATCAATAAGAGATTTTGTTAATTATTGATAATTGTGTACAACAAATATTTAATAAAGGCAAATTATAGTTTATCAAACATTTAAACACTTTTCTCTATTTATAATTATAAATACCAATATAATTATGTGGAATTGTTGATAATTAGAACTTACTAATGTTATTGTTATAGCAGACATGAAATAGTTAACATTAAAACAAATAAAATACAATAATAGATTGGTTCTAAATCTCTTAAGAGGACGCTACACCTGCATGTGTTGTCTCCGTCTTACAAAATTACAAGTGCGTAACATTGCTAAAATTGTTTCGCGCGGGAAAGAACCGAGAAAGATACAGTTATAACTAAGAAACGAAATTTTCACCACATAAAAAGGAGAATTTTGTCTCACGCGGGAAAGAACCGAGAAAGCTACAGTTATAACTAAGAAACGAAATTTTCRCCACATAAAAAKGAGAATTTTGTCTGTGCAATATCGTTTTTATTTTTTCGATATCACTTATACAAAAAAAATTCTTATTGTTTTATGATATATTAATTTTGTGTTTTTAAAGCATGAATAACTTTGTTTGTAGTTCTGATATCGAAAAAATAAAAACGATATTGCACAGACAAAATTCTCCTTTTTATGTGGTGAAAATTTCGTTTCTTAGTTATAACTGTAGCTTTCTCGGTTCTTTCCCGCGTGAAACAGTTTTTGCAATGTTACGCACTTGTAAGACGGAGACAACGGGTGTAGCGTCCTCTTAATAGTAAATATTATTTTATTAAAGCTGTATTTTTATCTGAATTAATTTTTAATTCGTTTTAACTTATAAATGATTTTAATTTAAAAAAATTAAAATGTATTTATTATAAAGTTTGAATTAAATTATAATTTAATAGTGTTTTATATTAATAATGACACAGTGGCTATAATATACTTTTGTGTCTTTATAGTTTTAAATTATAGTTTATACAATATAACATTTAAAAAGTTCAAAAACCTTGAGGAATTTTAAGTAATAAATTTAAACTTATATTATAGTATGCATAATTGCGTACTATTCAATAGTTATAACACGTTCTGTACTTTATAGTAATTAACATTAAAATATATCTTAGAAATAATAATTATACAACTCCCTACAGCACTTCTACGAATAAGCAGGAACGGCTATTAACTTTAAAAAATATCACAGTTATCTTGAAAGCCCTAAATTTAAATAATAAAATAAGAACGTAAGTAAGTTTATGTCGCTCTGCAGGAGTACAGTAGGTTATAAGTGGGTTACTGTAATGGATGGTAGGTCGTACTACTCGTACTGTCGTAGGTATTAAATTTGAATTCAATGATGTTACATCATTATATACGAAAAACGATTCTGAGTAGAGACGGTTAATCAGTCTAGGATATGTTATACTATATTAACTATATTGTTATAATTTCAAACAAAAAAAACTACGTCTATAATTATTTAATGTTATAAAATCGTGAAATCATAAATTTTTTCCTTTAACCGCTTTTATTTCGAGTATCGTTTCGAAAATCCAAAAATTACCTTTTAAAGTACTAGCTCAATAACATTACCTTTCAGAAAAGATGCTACACTTGATACTTTAGAGCAAGTTTAGAGGGAGAAAAAGTGTTTACAGAATAAAAAATAAAAATAAATAAACATCATTGTAAAACCAATACATTCCTCGCTTCGCTCAGAATCTACCTAATATTATATGTAATTACGTCTAATACGTGAGTATCATATTATTTATTCAAAATGTTCTAAAATAAAATCAATAAGCAATAAGCCAGCAAAGATATTGAACTTAAATAATAAATATATATAAGTATATATAATACATCAAAAAACAGTACAAATATATGATTATAAGTCATAAATAGGTACTAAATAGTAATAAGTAGGTATAAAGTATAGGTATAGACGGTATAGTATTATACCCGTCGACCAATGACCATTACTACACTGCAGTATAGATAATCCAATGTTGTATAGTTTATGGTAATATTATTAAGTATAGTATTTATTTTCGGGAAGACTAAAAAGTTAATAAACATATTATTTTAATACTGCCAAGCTACTTTTAGGACTCTGGTTATTTTTATTAAATAATAAAACTCTCTAATATCTAGAACAAAAAATTGAAAAAAATGAAAAATATACTTAAAGAAACCAGATGCGTACTTACATAGTTGAATATCTAATACAGTATAGGTACCTATATGTATGACTATACCGTCTATAGTATAGACTCTATACCTACCGAGTCGTTAAAATCAACTAATAACTAATAAGAATAATTGAACTTTACAAATCAAATATCGAAAAGGTTTTCAATTTAAATACTAATCGTAAATCATAGTTTAAAAATGTCAAATTATAAGTATAACAATGACGACGGTTCTATACTTCTGCATGTATTATACTATTATCTCTATAATACACCTATACACCTAAATACAACTACGAATGTTTATTGGTCTAGGAGGGTCAAATACAAGAGTGGTTATATTAAGATTTCGTAGTAAAATTATGTATTTATTCTACTTATACTTTACAGGACAATTATTTTATAAACAGTTTTA